CGCAGGGTTGCAGCAGTCACGTGGTTCATTTTTTCCTGGAGGGATGTTTGACATTGGAAAACTGGGAGATGGAAAAAAATGAAAAACCATATTCTCCAAAAATTAATTACAGTTCTACCCCAAGTACAAATGCGACAGAACCTCCAACAGAAAATAGTAACTTGTTAAAGCAGATTTCAACTCGTCAAGTGGTTAGAGCAGTCAGATGAAGGGTGAATGCTTTGTACTTTATGTTGTAAATGTGGCTAGGACAATTCCTTTACACCAGAAATTGGTTGAATGAATTTTCGCACATCAACTCCTACCTTGAGAAGCACAAGAAGGACGGTAGAAGATGTAGTAACTCGTTAAAGCAGATTTCAAGCTACGAATTTCTTTATCTCCTGATGGACCTTATTTTTTCAATAGCAGCACTGAGCAATGGCGTTGTTGTTGTTCACCAGTAATGGATGGATTTTTCTTCACGGCAAAATCTGGGAAAAGTACCTACCAATATGAATTGCAAACCAAACTTAAGAAGACACTGATAAGAAAGAAAATACAGTTCTAACACGGCAGGGTGTAGTACTACACAGAGATAACAAGGGTATGAAAAAAGCAATGGTGGAATTTGATAAACTGAATTAAAGCCTTCATTGAAAAATTGAAATCTGAAATGAAGAAAAGATTCCTACATAATAACTGTTCAGTTGCCACCTGTTTTCAAGTTCTTAGTCTCACACGTCTGCCATTTCTCAGCAAAGATGAACAAAGTGACTACAGTGTTGATGGTCTTAATACATTCACCAGCAACTATAGAAATAAAAAAAAAATTCTAGACAGGTGAAAAGCAAAGCTTTGATTCATGGACTTTGAACTGTAGAAAATAGTGCACACTTATTACAAAGCCCATTTTCAAAACATGATGAAACTTGCTGGCTGTGAGAGACGATCTTCTGCACAAAACAATATAAATACTGCAGTTAGAAGACCAAAAACACCCAAACACATTTTCCAGTGTTAGGTAATTATGTCTTCCAAACATTTTTCAATTACCCGCTATTCCTTCACTTTGCAGCAGATTGACTTGAAACTAGGTAGGGTTATACCTTGGTCCAATCCGCCCAGTCACCTTTTTTATTTAAGCTTTTGAAGGATCTTATGGACTCAAAGGTCAAGCTACCCAAAAATGTATATTTTAGGCTCATGTGCAGAAATCAAGATGAAAATTGGCACAAATATAAATTTGCGTGCGTCCAACACACTGACACCGAAAAAAAGTTGGATTGGCCATGTTAAGTCTTTTTATGGGCTTAGAATTCAGAAAAAGAGTATATTTTGGGAGGTTTTGGTCAATTACTTAGCCATATTCTGACAAATGTACATGAAATTTGGTACAAAGATACTTTTTCTACAGGCAACACACATTGACAAACAAAAATGTTGGACTTGCCCATTTTTGGTAATTATAGGAAGGTTAAGATAATATAAAAAAACATAATTTTAGAGTTTTTTAAATAACTACTCCATCGTATTTCGACCAATTTCCATGGGTTTTGGTTTGTTTTGAATTTCGCGTTAAGCTACACGAGGGCTATCTGCGTTAGCCATACCAAATGTAGCAACGTATGACTAGAGGGAAGGCAGGTGGTCATCACCACCCACCGCCAACTTTTGGGCTACTCTTTTACCAACGAATAGTTGGATTGACCGAACTTTATAACACCCCCACGGCTGAAAGAGCAAGCATTAGAATCCACGACCTTCAGATTGTGAGTCGAGCGCCCTAACCACCTGGCCATTTCCATGGGATATAGTACAGGGATACTTTTTTTACAGGTCTCATACATACAGCTGCTAGGTTACTTGCGTTGGCAACACAATATGTCAGCTAAAAGTCAGAATCCATGAGCATAGAAGTTTCTTATTCAAAACTAATAATTTCCTAATGCCCGAGCCTCTGCTGTACACTTACATTAATCACTTTTTCCAAGAGCAATATCTGTCCACTGGCTATTATTGGTATTCAATAACACCACACTTAGCAAAGCAACAAAAGTTAATTTCAATAAAATCTCTTTTAACAGCCACTGCACTCCCTTGTTTGCATATTTGGTTTATACCTTTATGAGATAACTCTAGACACCATGTTTGTATGGACCCTTTAAGTGTAATACATTTTTCATAAACTTTTGTACTTTTTGTTTTATATTAGATTTAACAATAATTTATTTTATTTACGTCCAATTGTAATTTCGCTTATTGTCTTTATTCATGTCATTTTTAGTCTTTTGCTGAAGTTGAAATATGCTTATTCCGTTATGTACAGGTAAGCCAGTAATTAAAAACTATAATCGTCGTATGATCTATCTGTGTTGCTTCTCTTTCTTATTAAATTAAGATTTCTGCCTAATCAGTCTAGACTGAGGTTTTTACTTATTTTGAGTATCTTAATCTGCTTGTCTACTGAATACCTTAAAAGAAAAGATCAGTAGCATCAATACCAAATATTCGTCAAACCCTACATGAACACCATACTTGTAATACACACTCTAAGAAACTTGTTTTTCGGTTTGTTCAGGGTTATTGATGATGCCATAATTCAGTGACACTTGGTGAATCAAACGATGGCTTTAGTTTGGTATTTATTTCTAGCAAAACAAATTTACAATTTTGGAGTAAAAAGACTCAGTGTTATCCTATCTTTATTTAAAAACTATTATTTTGCGTTATCGATTATCTTTTATCATAAGCCTACGTTTCTCACGACTGTACATCAATGTTGAATTTTATTTTCAACTTTTAAATCTATATAGGATCTTCTTTGAAATTATCATGCTATAAAAATCTACATTTTCTAAAAAATGAAACAGCCATTTCTTACTAGCTTAAACCATTTTAAGAATACAATAATCTTTTAACAGTAACAGGTTACAATTTTAGGTTGTCATATGGTGTTAATAAAACTAAAAACAAATAAATAAGGATATAAATATTTGTTTGTTTGTAATTAAGCACAAAGCTACACAATGTACTACCTGTGTTCTGCCCACCACGGGTATCAAACCGGGATTCTAGCGTTGTAAGTCCGCAGACACCGCTGTGCCATTGGGGGTTATAAATATTTATCTAATGGAGTGAATCTCGGAGCCATTATTCTCTTTGCATTGTTTGTCAGTTTTGTGTGACTTTTTAATACCACTTATTGGTTATTACGTGTATGAACCTTTTCTAGATTATTTTAAAAATAAACTTCATACTTTTACATATTTGTTTAACACACACATAGTTACACATGAAATGTAAATAAACTACAAATCATTCTGTAATTTACAATTTTAATTTCAATATTACCTTACATCGAATTGCTTTTATTTTCAAATCGTCATACGTTTTAGTAATAGCTGGAAGTTGTATGCATACATTTAGAAAATTACTGACATAATTACAGAACAAAGATTCTCACCTGCTTGTACCTTAACCCTTAGGATTCGATTTGAAAGAGTTAGATACCAACACAAGTGAATAATATATCATAAATAATTCTTGGGGGAAGGCCAATACTTTTTACTATCTTGTCTGCAACATCAAAAGTAAAAATCCTTTCTTACTTATGTGTTGAAACCATTTAATGTACCTGACATAGTACTGTATTGAAAAACAAACCTACTAATGTGATAACTGCCAAAACGAAGATTAATTATAAATGAAATGCTCAATCTATTTTAGATGGATACAAATTAACTAATTTAAAAAATATTTCATTAGGGCATATTAATACCACTTTAAACATGAAAAGAAAAGACATTTCAGTGGGATGTTTTGACAAATGCAAAAATTCAACTTTAAATAAATAATATTATTCCAGTGTCTTGGAATGAGGAGAGTGTTTGAATATGTCATTTGAGACAATAAACAAAGGGATTTTCTGCTATGGATCATTATTGTGGAGTTTATCTTAAGCATAAAATGATCATGGTCTACTAAAACTTGCAATACTGAGTGGTTAGCATGTAACTGTCAATATAAATAAAGAATTTCCGTGAGTCAAGGCTTCACTTTACCTAGTAAAAACAAAATTCCTATGAGCCAAGTCAGCATTTTAAGCAGAGAAAAAAAAGAAAACTCATTGTAGAGTACTAGAATAAGGACAAATATTCCACTTCAATTTTTTATTTCCTCATTCAGTCAGTGTGAATCATCTAGTTGCCACCAATATTATGATATCACATACTGCTAATCCTGATTAAACAAATTTTCTTAATAATGCAACTGATAATATTTTAATTTTTAACTGCTTTCCCAATGATACTCACTACTGTCATCACTAACATGCATTTAAACTTCTTAACAAAAAATATTCTTGTTTCTTTATAGACCAACAAAATTCACAAAAGTTTATAGAAAATATACATTTTTTTTTTGAAATTTTGTTTTAAAACCTAAACAAGATTAACAATTAACAAAAATAATATATAAAAAAACTGAGAAAGTGCATTTTAATAATTAAATGATTATTAGAAGTCTGAAAATGGTGAGGGCAGAAATTAAACTTTTAAATCTCAACATCCTGTGGAATAATCTATGAAACCAATTCAGGATGAAGAATTATAAAAAGTTGCCACGTTGAAACTAAGTACAGCCCCGAAAGAATTATTAAGTATAAACCTAACTTTTTTATCAGCAAAAAAATTACAACTGAAAACTTAAAAGAATTGTTTCTTTCTAAGTTCCATAGCTATGAAATGATTATACTTGTATAAACCTGCCATTTTACAATACACCCACATCTTAGTGAGAAAACAGCCCAGTAATAAAGCACGAAATAGTGATCTTTTAATGATTTAAGTGAGTGTTGTAAAAAAGTTTCATACTATTATAATTGCAGAAAATGATAGAAAAAGTAAAATTAAGATGAAATATTCAGTTTCATTTCATATACCGCCACAGAGTAAAGGATACTATATATATGCACATACATACATATATATATATATATATATATATCTAACATGTTTTCCATTCCTTTTCTATTCTAGACTCTCTGAAATGTTGAAAGAATCAAAGGTAAAAACTTCTGAAATTTATTTTCCGTAGATGCCAAGCTACTGTTCATGTACACAGAGAGTTGGTTTTCTGAGACATAATCACTTCTGTTACAAGGGGAACTTGGATTAATTAAGACAGCTGAATTAGAGGTTGTACAGGAATCAGAAGTTTTAAATTTTAAACTTTCTGAATTCTTGAATTCTTTCTCTAAACTCTGGAATTCATATTTATTAAAGGGACCTTCACAATCAAGATCTTCTTCATCAGTCACTTCCTCTGCAAAGTTTACTGTTCCTTTTAGAATGTCTCGCACCTATAAGTAAAAAATTGTAAACAATTGCCTAAACCTGATTACTAACAAATAAAAGTGTTCATCCCAGCATATTAGAGGATCTTCAAAGTGATATAAAATAAATAATAAACACAAAAATATAAAAAAAAACCTTCTGAGTTTAGTGTTTAATGTAGTTAAATCAAATAAATAAATTACAAACCAGCATCTTCTGCCTGCAAATTCAAAAGGAAATTTACAATAGTTCTTAAAGAAAAAAATATCCAAATGTAGTATTTGATAGCGATAATTTCAAACTTGTTACATATACACATTATGTACTTGACCAAAGAAAATGTAAAATTTCATTTTACACCTCCAAGTAATAACAAGTTTCAATTCTTTAACTCCCTCAATACGGGCTCAGGCAATTTGACCAAACACGTCACCTTTCTGTACTCATTTAAAGTCTTTAAAGATTTAATACTTATAACTCTCAATATAGTGTGTATATCTTCACAAAAGTTGGCAGTCCTTCAGTTAACATTACATACAAAAAATCATATGTCTTAGTGAAGTATTTTTAATAAAATAAAATAGAGATTTGTCCATGAATATCTCGAGTATTTGTTTTGAATAGTCTGTGTGCAAAATATTTTTCATGTTAAAATTAAAAATACTTTTCCTCATCTCAAAAAATCTCATATTTCCTTTGTGTAATCTCTAAAACCTCCTAAATGCATTTCAAACGTTTTTTTTTTCCAGTAAAACTTTATAGTTTATATGTTATTTTCTCTACCCTATCTTAAAATGGGTTCAGCCAATTTGACCAACGTCGTAACCATCAAAAAAAAAATTCAAATAAACCTAAATTACTCTTTTTTTTTTTTCTAGAATGACTTCAGACTGTAACATGAAACTACATTCGTTTATCCTAAGTAGCTCTACGTTCGTAACACTATACATCTATTTATAGTTAAATTTTATTGTTTTATTATCCTTTGAATTGTGTTTAATTATTGTCCGCACCATAAAAAGTTGTAAATAACTCGGGAACGTGCAGCTCACATTATGCTATCGAATTACATTGCCAATGAGCTGCTTGCGTGCGGGCTACGTGAATAATTTTAATTATATTATTATTATTATTTATTTTTCCTAATCTCGTTTTAAATAACTTAAAAACTTCTGTATTTTTAGATTTTAGTTATTTTTATAATAATAAATAAGGAATAAGTATGAAAAACAAGAAATAAAGTATTTACCCAATCTTCTTTTTTTCTTGTCTTTGTTTGTCGAGGAGAGTTAAGCCTAATTTTTTATAGTACTAATAGCAATGTATTTAATAATTTTTAATTAATTAAATAATGCACCAAGAATATAGACT